AATACACATCAAGTGAATTGTACAGTGGAGGAGACTCTCAAAGGCCAAGAAACTCAAGGCAGTAAAAGGAGGGAACAGTAGGTCAACCTCGGATGTTCCTGTGGCACACAGAAATTGGATGAAGTTGTTTATTGACAGCAATAGCCAGCTAATGTCTGACACTTGCTAAAAGTGAATTTCAATGGAGACAGAGAAGGAAAACAACATAGAAAAGGGCAGTGGCTTGCCCAGAGTCAGATCTGGAACACGGGGTGCCTGAGTTGTCATCTGTTACACCATGTTCTTCACTAACCTGCCACCTCTCATTTCCATCAACGTGACTAAAAACTCCGAGGCTGCTGCATTACTAGATGAGGCTGTCCAAGCAGCAAATTCACCCAGTTTTGTGAGACTTTGGGCATCTAATATAATCCTTAACTGTATTCTGACATTTAGCAGTTCTTTACACTATGTCTTTAGAGATAAAGTGAAGTCAAGTAGGCATTAGCCTGCAAGGGGTAGTGGAAGAGGGTACCTTTCAGTGCTAGAGCCTCACATCCTGAGGTGTCCAATGGCACAGCAGTTCCTGGCATCAAGCAATTGAAGAGACGAGGTCAGTGAGAAGTGGAGTCTGGCTGAAAAGAAGAGCAGCATGAAAGCCTGGTGCAGCAGAACAAGTAGCAAGAGGCAGCAAACAAAGGGAACACAATCCGGTCCTTCCGAGGATGCTGTGGGAGAGGCAGAAGACAAAGGAAGGGGTTATGGGTGAAGCAGGGAATGAATATATTCTGCCAATGAAAAAAAGGTGGGTTTCCAGGTCTGATTTTAACTGCATTACCCACTCTTGTTGACACAGCCTTCTCAAAGAAGCTCACAGGCACACTAAACAATAATTAAGGCACTGCATTCCCAGAGTCCTCTTTTGTTTAATGCTAGGGGTCATCTTGAAGCCAAGGGGATGAGGGAATACAGCACAATGAGCTCCATGAGGGCACGGAGCTGACAGACTGTTTAAATGTAATGGTCTCTCAGCTCTCAGAGGACGAGAGGATCTCTGGTTTCAGGCCTCTGAAGTGCTAAATTACCAATGATACTACAGCAAGTTCCACCAAAACCACAGCCATCAGTAGTACAGATTGGTTTTAACAAACAAAAGCTGACAGAATAAAGGATGGGGGCTCAGGGATGCCTGTGCTCTACGCCAAGGCTCTTCTAAAAATATTTTACACCTGCTATTCGTTCTGCACCCTGATCATATTTTGTCTATGAGGTAGAGAACTCGTAGTGCCAAAGGGAACGTGGTTTATGTTCCTGAGTCTTAATGCTTTTTCCCTTCTGTAAGGCAAAAGTCCTTACTACCATCACTAAAATAAAGCCAAGAGGACAAAAGTCATACACACGCTGCCACGGTAACAGTTTAACCGTCCCTCTCACTGATCTTTGGAACAGGATTTTACAGCTCTGGCACTTCGATTTAGCAAACTTTTTATGCAGCTCATGAGAGGAATGCAGCCAGCTCTGTACACTCATTTTAAATCAACTTGCTGATGATATAAAAAAAGAGTGCTGAACTGCCGGTTTGCTTCATCTGCTCCAAACCCACCAACACAAACTCTGAGGTATTTATTCCTGAAGCGTTAATAGAACAGTCTGGGGCGTCAGATCAGTAAGTGAATTCTGCTTTGATCCCATGCTGGTCCAAAGAGCTGATTTAACAACTAGTTGTTTGGTTACTTGATATTTCACAAATGCAACGGGGCTGTTTGCTACTAACAGGCTTTTGCATGTTGCAATAGTGGGAGCACAGGGTGCAGTCAGCTGGGCAGGCAGTCAGCTGTAGCTGGGTCATCATTTGCCACAGTTGTCTGTAGCAAGAGATTGTATGAGCCATGTTTAATAGCTGTCTAATTTTGCATCGTGAAGGAGGGATGGATCTTCCTGTGGCTTACACCCAGTCCTCAATTTGTATAAATCATAGAATCACAGAATCCTGGGTTGGAAAGGACCTCAAAGGATCATCTGGTCCAACCCTTCTAGGCAAAGCACGACATAGGCTAGATGTGCCAGCACCCTGTCCAGCTGAATCTTAGAAGTGTCCAGTGTTGGAGAATCCACCACTTCCCTGGGGAGATTATTCCAATGGCTCATTGTTCCTATTGTGGTATCTCAATGATGATAGCTTAGTTGATTAATAGTTGACTAGAATACCAATGATATATCAAATGATGATACCTTAGTTGATTAATAGTTGACTACAATATCAATGATATATCAAATGGTGATACCTTAGTTGATTAATAGTTGACTAGAATATCAATGATATATCAAAGGATGATAGCTTAGTTGAAGTCAAGAGAACTACAAAACTCATACTCACCGAGACTGCAGTGCCAGGCCAGCCTGTGCCCTCTAGATTCACATCCTTTGAGAACCAGGTATTGTAAACTCCACCTGTGAGCTGGCTCTCCTTTACAGAAATAATCACATCAATTTCATTTCGGTGACCACTAGACTTGTGATCAAGAGTAAGGTCTGTCATCTACCCACAGGATGCAGCACAGCCCAGAGCTGTCTGGTGATCCCGCTCCTCCCCACCATGCCAACGTGCCTCTGAGCTCAATTCCACATCTCTTATGATTTTCAAAAGTTAGGGACTTGTGCTGAATTGAGTGAGCCTTATGGATGGGAGCACTTTGAACTTCTGCTTGGGTGGGGACTCTGGGTGAAGAGATCCAATGCACTGAGCAGCATGGAGGAGGATGCATACTTACCCTTTTCTTCATTGTAAATCAAAGACATCTTCTGAGGTTTAACTTACAGCAGCAATTTTAAGGAAGTAAACTGCATGTCCGCAAGAGAAAATACAAAAGAACTTGCACAACTGAGCAGAGGCTCCCTTTTACCTCCTTCACTCCCTTTTAGGTCGTTTCTGTCAAAGCAAAGGCACTCACCTGACAGCACAGCCCCAGAGCATAACACTGGGTGCGTGCAAATTCAACCAGAGATTGACTCAGTGCTCATTTAGAACAGAATGTTGCAATGTAAATATTTATCTAACAAATTCAGCACCAAGCTTTAGCAAAAGATAAATAAATGGGTGAAGTAGACTGAACAGAAAGCACACATCTTTAATTTCTATAAGGAGTAAGAGACAACATTCAAAAGCTTCACATTTGCATTCTTTGAGCAAACTGGAAGCTCTCTCGACAGCTTGTCTCCCTGCAAAGCACCACAAACAAACCCTGCTTAGGAAAATCCTTGTATTAAAAGGTGCTGCAAAACCCAACCTTGTTTCCAGAGATTCTTCCTGGCTGCAAACCACTGCCCTTCCTGCGTAGGGCTGGTTGCAGTGGAAGGGAGCAAACCGGCATGGGAAGAGGATAAGCTCGATGACCTTTAAGGCAAATGATCTCAGTTTAAATCACAGGAATAGAAGTATTACAGAGCACGTAGAACAGTCCCCACTGTCATTGCTCCACCTCCTAGGCAAAGTAGGTATTATTAAGTAGTAAAATTGTAGTAAGTCTTTAAAAACATACAAATAGAATTAACACAGTTAAAATTCTCCATTTCCCAGTAATTGCTCCAGTATTTTTTCTTTTTTTTTTTCTAATTCCTTTTAAAAGCAAAATCATCCACTTAAAATTAGATACCAAGTGATGCACTCTTAAGTATAGTTCTGTCCACTGATGTGCTGTTAGTGGAAAGATAAACCAGAGGGCAAATTTAAAAAGGAGCCAGTTAGAGACAGCTGAACACCTAAAGAAATCTTTGCTCCACTCTTGCTTTTGAACTGGTTGTCAAGGCACTAGAAATTGACACCGTGGTCAGTCTTTCACCTCCACCCCATCCATCTCTTCACAGCCTCTAACCCAAGGCAAAGAGCTTGCGCTGGCACTGAATACACCCTCTTCTTACAGTACCAGGCTATTGCCACCAGATCTCTGCTTGCACCAGACTGGAGGTGTATGCTGCATGGAATGCAGTGCATCAAACAGGAAAGGGCTGATTTTTACTCCTAAACTCCAGCTTCAGAATACTGAAGTTCTGGTAATTTCAATCCTGTGCTGCTCCTGCAGTTTAAAATGCACCATCATGAGCCAAAGGACTACCCACTTGGCATGCATTTCTCTGTGCAATTGGAACTGTTGTGGAAAGTAAGTTGACATTTGTTAGATTTATATGTTAAAGAGTAACTTCTCTTCCCCTTGACAATGTCCACTAGCAAGGAACACTATCTGCTGGACAGATGTGAAAGAGTAAGGAATGCAACTTCCAAGTAGTCCTAGAAAAGCAGAGTTGTTTTTGTGAGACTCTTGAGTTATTTCTCCTCCCACTCACATTCAGGTTTTGAAAACCTATTCAGTTAAATTTAGTAAAACACACTAAAGTAAAAACATTTGAATAAATCTAATCTTAACCTTGGTTAATCTTATCTAACCAAGCCTGAAAGTATTCATACTACAAGCCTAAAAAAAAAATAACCTCTCACTGTAGTTGCATTACATTTCTCGTTTTAATAGAGGATCCAAAATGAAAGTTTACAGTGAGTTCACTAAACTGTAAATCAGCACTTTTATTCAGTGTAGTTTCTGAGCTATTAATCCCCAATACAGAAGCAGAACGCTGACGCACGGGACTAGGACCTCTGGAGAGAATGGTTCAAATCCGTTTTGATGACGTGGAAAGGGAATTTCATTGAATCACCAGAGTCCCTTCTAGATAGATCAGGTCGCGCGACAGCTCCGCGTTCACACAGCTTACAGCCTTAACTCTCAGAGAAAGAAAATATAAAATTACCTTTTGAACTCAGCGAGCTGCAGTTATGGAAAAACAAGTGCAAGTTTTGCTCTGTCAGGAGTGTTTTAGGTAAAGCAACCTGTTATTGTGGAGCATCAGTGCAGCAGCGCTCTCCATCGCTCCGCTCTGAAGCGGCGAGTCAGACTGTTTTGCATCACTAGCACCGACAACGCAGCACCGATCTTCAGCGGGACAGTAAAAACACAGACCACAGCAGCTCATTAATTTTAAAGAATTTTAATACAAACTTAATATAAACTATTTCAGTCCCTCTTAACATGTAAGACACTGACTCAAAATACTTTTATACCTTTTTTCAAGTATTGCACAATGTAGGTACAAAATTAATATTTACGATTACATTTTCTTCCATAATATATAGCAAAAATCTTTAAACTTTTAACAGAAAATACAATTTGTGTTTCTTTTGAAAAAAGCAAATATTTCGTACATTTTAATTCCACCACTAAGGAATATTCTGTACACAACTTTTTTCTTTTTTTTTTCCTTTTTTTTTTTTTAGAATTGATGTCTTTAAGATGGATATCTTACAATTTCAGTAAAAAAAATACAACATGAAGCTGCTGCAGCTGTCACAGATCACTGTAGTAAAAAGATATAAATGCAATACCATGTTGTAGAAACAATATATATACTCTGATATTTTACAAACTTTGTACTAAATTAAATTATACAATTAGAAAAAGACCAATAAACCCACCTATTAGTGCCAATTTTTTTAATATATATACATATATGTTTGGGTACATATATATATACACACGTGAAAAAAATCAGCCACGTCCTTGCTATATCTTAAATACTGTAAGAGGCCATATTTTGAGAGTATATTTTTTGTAATGTACAGTCAGTATAAAATAATTTTGTGCTTGGTTGGCAAATGAAAAAATGATGCATGTTGTATTTATCTAACCAAGCCTGAATGTATTCATACTACAAGCCTTAAAAAAAATCTCAAGAGGTGGAAAAAAAGATACACCCTTGGGTACGTGCATTTTAACTTGTACAATAGTATTTACTTGTATTTCACTTTCGGTTTATTTTTAGTTAGCCATAACAGGCTGGAATTGCTGGTTAGAATACTGCATGTTGTTTAAACTAAAATTCAAGCCATCCACAAAAGACTTCTCATTTAGACCTCCATAGGCTGCAAACATATCAAAGGCATTACTGTACTGGAGAGGACTGAGGTTAAGGGGGCTGTCACCAGGAAAGATGCTACTGGTACTACCTTGACCCTGCATGTTGGGGAAAATGAACTCCTTTGCGTTAGGAGAAAGGGCAGAAGTCTTCTGCTGTTGCTGTTGCTGCTGCTGCTGACTGCCTAAGCCAAGCCCGTAGAGAGAGTGCATGGAGGAGGAAAGGGCTTTCTGCTTCAACAGGTCATTGACATTCAAGCCAAGGTTGGTGGGAGAGGTGCGGGCGACCTTGTTGCCACGGCCGCTATTCTTCATTTTGGTCGAGCCAAACTTGGTGGCAGCAAATGTGGCAGTGGTGAAGGTTAAAGGCTGAGTGGAGCGGGGCATGAAAGTTGGGCTCACAGCAGCAGAGTGGCCAAAGGGAGGAGAAGGAGAACTAGACACTGAAGATGCTGGGTCACTAATTGGCATGAACACCTGGGCCTCTGGGTTAAAGCTGTTCTTGATTTCCTTATCCAACTCACATCCATTTTCATTATCATCCACATAAAGCACTTTCACTGGTCCCTTTTCACCGATTTGGTATGAAACCTCAAACGGGTCAATCCAAACACTAAGATCCTGAGGCAAGTTGCCACGAACATCATCAATGTCCAAACCACTCTCTTTGGATGCTTGTTCTATGACTGGGTCCACTTTTTCCCCTATATGTATACATCTAAACCCTGATCCTTTGTATGGCTTTTCTGGATACCAGTGCCCTTCATACTTCTTCTTAAGAAGTCTTTCAAGCTCTTCACCAAAAATGTTGACACGTCGTCTGGGAAGCTTATTGTACAAATACGAAATAATAAAATTGAGTGCTACTTGGATTTCAAGCTGCATAGCTGCTATGCCACAGAGTTATAAGTCTGCTTCAAAACCCGAAGAAGAAAGCCTTCAAGATGCCACAGGGAACCAAAATTTCATTCAAAGTGCTGATCCTAGTTGATTATTATCCTTCACCTTGAGTGCTCTTGTTCCTTTAAGAAAAAACAAAAGCAAACACATCCAAATAAGGAAAGCATAAGATCAAGCTCTGAGGCCTATTCTTTTGGCCTCGCCTTCTGCATAAAATAGGTTACTTTAAGTCAAAAAATGTGCATTAAACAGTTTATGCTCATGCCTGCGGAAGGTGAGGATGTCAACTACATTCAGTATGACTTACAGACAATGCTGCAGGAGATGCACTAGGCGTGTGTTTACATATACAGCATGGGGCATTTCGGAATCACATGAGCTCGCCGTCAAGCTATTCACAGAGCAGCAAGGATAATTTTTAAGACACCACAGAACTGCCAGGCCTGTCGAGGGTTCAATTACCAACCCGTGTTTGGATGATTTATGGTACTCAGCTGCAAAATTTAGCACCAGGCTATTAGTTTAGCCTGAAAGGTCTTAGTCCAAGGGTCATTTATCATTTTAAAGTTTGCAAACATACTGGCTGCACTGTTAAGCTGCAGAATTATAAAAAGGTTAACAGTTGCTTTAGAAGATTTCACACAAACAACTGAAATTATGCAACATTTATTTTTAAGTCCAAGCAAATCATCTATATAACATGTGTGCTGGTGAAATCATGGTAACTGAAGAGAAAATGTCCGCTGCACATAGACAAGAACTCTTCCTGGAATAGCTACAGTGGTAACGCAGTCAATGCATACAAAATAGATGCACGGATCCTGTCATAAGGGTGGCAGTGACCGTGAAATGATTACAATAAATTGGTTCACAAATAATTCCCTTTCTACTAATTATTCTGTATTATCAGATGTAATACATTAATATATACTAAATTGATATACTGCACTGCCTGTAGTTCAGATTTCAGAAAGTTACCAGGACTAAAAAGGCGTTTGCTAGCCTCAAACCCGACTGCTTTTCTCCTCCACGACTCCATTTTATATTTAATATAAAATATGGTTGCCACTCCTTCGCAAAAGACAAAAGAGAAATTAGGTAGCTGAAGTTAAAGAAGAGACAAAAATCAAGTATGAACACACATACTGCTAACAAAAATCCTGCAGTACCTTTGCATAAAGGTATTCTTTCAGAGGAGACACCTTTGCGTTCAAAAAGTTTCACTGAACCAAAATATATATGTGTATTTTTTTGGCTCAAGTTAAACGCCCAATAAGAATTTCAATTAATAGTATGTGTTTTTCTGCACTGCATCACTAGGAACAAAATTTAGCGTAGCTGTCACTTAAGATTAGAGAAATCAAAGTCAAAATCAAAATCCTTTAACGATATGGATGCAATGCTTTTTTTATTTCCTGCTCCAAATAATCTCCTTTTAAAGTCTGGAACCCTATTTCCCAGCCACTCGTGTTCTCCCCAACATGGCATGGGAATAGTTTGAAAGCCTGTACGATAAGGCGACCTTTAAACATTTGCTGGATCAGCACTGGGTGGGGATAAGGAAAAGATCAAGGGCAAACAGAAGATATTTACCAAAGGGACACAATCAGTACAGAAAAATCTGACTGGGTGGTTAAAATGGGCATTTAAGAATGATTTATTAATCCATCTGTTTTGTTTCCCTTCCCCCATGTCCTTTAGGAAAGAAATGATTCTTTCAAGGTGCACCGGGCAGACACTGTAAATTTTCCTAAGCCCCAAAACTGATCCAAGGTGCAAACAGCTGATCAAAGAGATCAGCCTGATCATTTCAAAGTCCTTTTTTGATGTAAAGAGGACGGTATTTCTCAGGGACCCAAGGCCATGAGCCCCCCAGTAGCAGAGCACCGGCGCTGGGGTAAAGGCAGAAGCCTGAAGCAGTGAGCGGAGTTACATAACCAGGCAGTCGGGTCTCATTAGCTTTCTGCTCACAGCCCTGGGAGCTCCGGCAACAGCAGGAGGAGGAGGAAAAGCATTTTCTGAGCCCATAAGAAAGAAAATGAACAAGAGGAAGGCAGATAACTGGAAGGAGGAAAGGCGGGGGGGGTTGCAAGGCCCCTCTCCTCAGCATACAGGCCCGGCAACACCCCTGTGCACCCCCCCCCCGCGGGGCAGGGTCCTGGAGGACGGTTGCCAGCGCTGCCCGGAGAGGCCCAGCGCAGCAGCAGTTATTAGTCAGCCGGCAACGCTCACTCCTCCCAGCCCGAGCGCGCCCAGGGACCGCCTTGGGAGGGACCCTCTGGCTGCCC